AGGATCGAACCCAGTGCCTCATGCATGCTAGGCGAGCACGCTACCACTGAGCCACAACCCCAGCCCTGTCTGGGAATTTTTAATGGGTGCTTCACATTATGAATTTTATGTGTTTGAGTGCTGGATTTTATTATATTCAATTAGGGACTTTTGGACTTATGTTAGCATGCAGTTAGGTTACTTTGGATTGTTTTGATCCTTTCAGGTCTTGCTTTTACATTTTATCAAGAAGCATGTTGTCTAGGTCTCATTGAATCCTAATTAGATAAAACTTTTCTGAAAATTCTATCTTAGGCCATAATGTATTAAAAGATAACTCTGGTTGATGGGTTCTGTCCTTCATGAGCTTAAGGAATTGTTTGGCCTTCTACCATCTAGTGGTTCTTACCTTTGCCTTGAGTAATTTTTTTTTTTTTTTAATAAGAAGGACCCTTCTGCAGATATTTGGGACTCTTATCTTTGTAACTCTTTCCTTTTTTGTTTTGTTTTGTTTTTTACCCTATAAACTCTAGCTATCTGATTTCCTCAAACTCTAATTTTAAGATCATATCAAATCAGTGAGACTCTCTGGCTTTATTAGATTCTTGCTTCTTACATTGTGGTCCAGCATGATGTTCTAGGTAGAATTCTGTCCTTCTTTATATCCCTGGCCTCAGGAAACCATTGATCACCTTTTGGTCACTATATAGATTAGTTTGCATTTTCTTGAATTCTGTACACATAGAATCATGTAAATATGTATCTTTGATACCTGACTTCTGTTACTCAACATGATCTTTCAGATTAATCTATATTGTTCTATTGGTGGTTTGTTTCATTCTGTTGCTGAAACATTGTTTCTGTAATATACCTACACGACTTTTTGAGGATGCCCCACAGGAATTTAGGTTATAACATCATCACCCTTCTTCAGTGCTTTGATGAAGGCATTTATTTACTGATATTCTAAAATCAAAGAGTCATACTATTTTCTTTATCTTTATTGGTTCACTCATTTTAATTCAGTTTTTCATTGACTCAATTTTTAAAAAAGTCTTTATAATCTCACTTTTTCCTTTTAGGTGTTTTTGTGGTCGCTTGGTCAAGCAACATGCTTGTTTCACTGCAAGTCTTGCCATGAAATACTCAGATGTGAAATTGGGTGACCATTTTAATCAGGCAATAGAAGAGTGGTCTGTGGAAAAGCATACAGAACAGAGCCCAACAGATGCTTATGGAGTCATCAATTTTCAAGGGGGTTCTCATTCCTACAGAGCTAAGGTGTGTCATGTACTTGATTTTTGTTTTCTTTTTTTACTTTATTTCCTTTGTTATATAAAGAATAAACATGTATTATCTAACAGAAAGTTAATCCCAATAATTTCTTCGAATATATAAAAGTTAAGCTCTTACAAATACAAAATTGTTAGATCTTTAGTGGATTGAACTTTTTATCATTATAAAATGTCTTAATTGTAATTTGTCTTGACAAGTCTCCTTTTTCTGAGAGGATAGCTAAACCTTTTCTTTCTTTTCACTTTTAACTTTTTCTTATGTTAAGAGGTGTCTTTTGTGAGTATGGTAGTGCAAGCCTGTAGTCCTACCTGCAAGGCCAAGGCAGTGTGTTACTTGAATCCTTTTAAAACCAGCCCGGGCAGCATACCAAGATGCTGTCTCAAAAACCAAACAAATGAAAGAGGTGTCTTTTTAGTGGTATATCATTTTTTAAAAAAATTTAATGTTTTATATTTAAGTTTATAATATTATTTACCAAGTTGTGTCATTTATTTTTTCTTTTTCCCTTTCTTGTATTTTTTTGGATT